CTTGTTTCCGAAACTGAAGAGACACATGAAAGGACGACGCTACTCTACGATTGAGGAGATAAAGGCGGCATCGCAGGAGGAGCTGAACAAGATCACAAAAAATGATTTTTTGAAATGCTTCGAGGATTGGAAAAAACGTTGGCACAAGTATATAATATCTGATGGGGATTACTTTGAAGGAGACAAAATAGATATTCATGAATAAATAAATAATTTTTGAAAAAACACAAAATTCGCGATACTTTTTGAACAGACCTCGTATGCAGAGGGCCACTTCCAGCGCCTCTGTTGATGTGGTTCTCATGGCCCCTACCGCAGCCCTCATGTAACTATCTTGTGAGCTTTTCAGCAGGTTCCTAGCCTCCATTTCTCCACTCTTGGCCACCATACTACAGCAGCATAAGTTAATCTCGGTAGTAGTAGCCCTTTGGTTTTTTCCATGGCTCTTCTACACGCTCAAATCAACGTGTAGAATTTTTTTTCCTTTCAAGGAGATGCTGTTTCCAGTTTAATTTTGGGTTGATCAAGACCCTGAGGTATTTTACACAATTTGTGAACTCTGCTTCCGTTACCCATAGCTTAATAGGCTTTATGGCTTAATAGGCTTATGGTTTTTTACTTTTACTTCCTGGTAAATGTTATAATATTTGTCTTAGAAGGATTGATGACCAGACTCTTCCTTGTGTACCAGTTTTCGATATTTCTCAAAGCTGTCCCTATATGTTCTTTGAGAGTTTCCAGGTAGTTTCCCCTGACCACCACAGTCACGTCGTCCGCGTAGCCATAGATTTGTAAACCTATTTCTTTTAGACTGACCAGAAGTTCATGAGACCACCAGGCTCTACAGGGTGGGGAATAACACCCCACCCTGCGAGCAGCCACGGATTGGTTTGCCTTCCAACGTTTCTTTCTCACATTGAACCATAAGATTCCTGGCGGTCAGCATGTTTTTTATTTATTTAATTAGTACCTCTGGTGTGCCGTGATTTATCATGACTTCTCTTATCGCTTTATTTGAGGTGTTATTAAAGGCTTTCTCAATATGTAGGAAACATCCAAAGGCATATCCCTTGGCTTCCAGTTGAGTCTTCACCGCTCTTACTAGGTGATGTAGAGCGCTATCTGTGGACCTGCTCTACCTTTTGACGTACTGGGAGTTCACTAATGGTTTTACCATTAGCGAGATTGATTTCAGATGTCTATTATTTTCTTCAGTGTTTTCAAGATGAAAGAAATGAGACTGACCGATCTAAAGTCCTTAGTGATGACATGACAATTTTGACTTGGTTTTGGTATGAAGATTACATTTATGTCCGCCCAGGTCTTGGGAATATGTCCTAGGGCTATATTCTTCCTAAAAATATTTATTAAAGTTCCCAAGATTTCTTGAAGGCCGTCTTAAAGTAGCACAGGATAGATACTATCCGGTTCAGGCGCTTCGTTGCAGGGTGCGAAGGTCTTAACAGCCCATTCCACCCCTTTCGGCTGCACAATCTTCAAGGCTATGTCCCAATGTTTTCGTCCTTTTCTCGTCATGTGAGTAATAACAGCCAAGGTCCTTTCAAAGCCTGGAACGTGACTCTGCATAAAGTGATCTAGAGATTCCTCCTTCGTTCTCGTGTATGTACTATTTGGTAGCTTTAAACAGCTCCAGCAGGTATACATTTCTGTGCTGAGTTTCTTGTGCAGTCTCGAGGACTCTGATAAGCTCTCGATATCTTTACAATAACTTTTCCTGCTGTTGTTATTTTGCTTTCACAATCTCTTTCTTGTAGAATCGTTGAAATTCTATGAAATTCTTCCACGACTCTCTGGTTTTTAGCTTCCTCGCTTTTTTTAAGCTTCTTCTGACCACAGCCCTGTGTTATCCTAGCTCTTTATTCCACCGTGGGGTGTGGGCTGTTGGATTTCTTTGCCTAAGTCGGCAGTTCAAAAGAGCTTCTTATGGCGTCGCTAACATTCGTTGCCGCCAGTTCCAGCTTTCTTAAGTTATAAAATTTCATTGGGACCCCAAGGATCTGATCTTTGAGGTCGGTCCTGTATCCCTCCCAATAAGTCTTCCTGAGACTTCTAGTCCATGTCTTTGTAATTACCATTTGTCGTAGAGCGTAACTTTTCTGCCTGTGACCTGACCTAGAGGGTTCATCTGTTACCCTCCAGTCCCTCACCATGTCCAGAAGTTCGCCCGAACAAATGATAATGTCTATTATCTCCTGTCTTCGAAAATCCATGAAGATAGTTTCATTTTCCCTGTTAGAATATGCGACCTGCTGCTTACTATCTAGCTGAGTAGGCCTTCGCCTCTCGGGTTGTTATTTGTGCTCTCCCATACCAGATAAAGAGAGTTTGCATCACAACCCAAGAGTAATTCGAGCCCGCCCGCTTTCAAATACGCTACTAGTTACTTGACTTCATCGGAGGGAGGGATGACTTCCGCATCGTAGGGCATATATATTGACCCTACGGATAGTTCCAGGAATCTCCCGTCCCTTCTTCTGACTTTTATTAATGCAGCAGTGACATCACTACTGCTGTACTCTGTTGGGAGGGTGATCTCTACGTTGTTTGTGATAATGCAGGTCCTAACTTTGCCCCTGTTATTTACACAAAGAATTTTCCGCAGCTGTTTAGACTCCTAATTCCGTCCCTAACTAGCAAAGGTTCTTGCACCAGCGCTATTTTTGCTATTAGTGCTGGTTTTGTCTGCATCACAGCCATGCTCCTGGCTAGATTCGCCGAGACGCCTTTGCTGTGATGCAAATTAATTTGCAAGGGAATTTCGGAGCCCGCCATTTTTAAACAGATCCCCGCTGATCCCCTTTCTTGGTAATTTTCAGGCGGTCCTTCTCAACCAACTTTACTGTTGCTTGGTTCAAGCCACAGAAATGTTTAAAATTGAGGTTATTTAAGGCCCTCACCATTCCCTTCCTAATAAGGGCAGCGAAGTAAGTGCTCCTGGTATCTCTACTTTCGCTCCCTTTTGCCACCATTCAGTCGTCCCTCAGGCCAGGGTTTTATCTGTTAAGGTGAGACATCCTTGACTGGCAATTTCGGGTTCTCGACGTGCACTACAATTCAATGTCGCTTTGGCAGCTCATCGACCAGCAGCGCACGCAACTGGGTCCCGCTCTTCAACGCGAATTCCGACGTCAGGTTTTTCAGCTAGGCGGCGAATTGTTTCTCGGTGCTGTTGAAGACCACTACTCCGTCCCTAGTCGACGTACTCTTGAAGGTTGGAACTTTTGTGCCTTTGGCTATGGATACAGCGCTTCACTTGTTTCTTGATTTCGTTGACTTCCTCCCTCCTCAGTTGTTCGTCAGGGTAGGCCATCGGGACGATTGCCACCCTGACCACACCCGAGGCGGCCCGAGCAAAAGTCCTTTGTTCACTGACCATTAGCCTTTTGCCCGGTTGCTTTTCATCTAAAGGACAGGGTGTGCTCGGCTCCTGTCTGGGGCGTTTGCATGCACTCTCGGGAGTTTGCTCTCCTGTCCTTAGGTTGGAAACAGTTTCTGAGCTTGGTCCTGGTTAGGGGTTCTTCTGGTCCTCCTTTCAGAAACTGCTTTTTATAGCGGGTTTTTTTCTCTGTCCCCGCACCTTGTTTCTCTGTGTTTTTGCTGTATAAAGTAGTTAGACACTCGAGAGCTATATTAAAGTTATTTTTGTCAGGATCCCTTTTTGCTCTCACGAGAATGCGGACTAGCGGTCTTGTCCGGATTCTCAGCTGCGACCTGAAGATTGGCGCGTGTTATACTACTCGGAGGTCGCACGGTATCCGGGAGGCACCATTTAAAATACAGCTTCCTCTATACGCAGTCCTCGGCATGGTCGCTAACATGATTTAAGGGGTTCCTTTTCGTTGGTTGCATGTGCGACTATCCTAAACGGGTAGACCAGCATGCAACCGTAAGCCACTCCACCATGTCAAGGTGGAGAATCTTCTGGGAGATTGTTATATACTAATATTAAAATTATTATATTCAGATACGAGCACAATTATTATTTGCAATTTATATACATGCGCGAGGATATATTCATTCTTTTTAGCCCTGTTGCCCGTTTTCAAGCGTGGAGACCGCTCTCATTTATTCATAAGCGGATAAAAAACGTGTAAAAAGTGGGGGCTGGTTTTATTGCATTATTGCTACAAATCTTTTGAATCTTCGAAATCCTTCTTTATCCGAATGACGAGTAATGCAACGCTGGAACGGCGCTTGCGGGTCAAATGAATGAGGATATCTCTCGGTAGTGCGATAAAATATTTTGTTTACCGCCGTGATCTGTTCGCCGGTGGTGAGACGAGAACTAACAAAGAATTATTGTCAGTCTGTATAACTCTCAACTCACTCATAAACATAGCACGGAAAAGAATCCAATGCTACTTATTACTCACAGAGAAGTTTTATTGATATTGTGGTCCTTAATTTATCTACACTTTACTTTATGATTGCTACACTATACTTTGCTTCACGATTATATGGATATATGCTATACATATGTTAGTAGCAGCAGCGAGTTCACTGATAGGAGAGATCGCGTCTTCGCTTTTCACAACACTATGTCCAATCCAATCCATGTCATAAGGGTACGCCTGCTAAATCCGGTCAAATTTCAGTTTAAATTTCCGGCCACATTTTATTTCAGCGCTAAATTGGCATTTGTGTGTGAGTAAGCCAAAACTATGTTCTGAACGAACATAACTTCAAAATGACAGTGTGAGCAGTCACGATCGAACATGTAATATAACCGAAAAGCGGCAATTATTGAAAGTCTTCACGCTTGATGTACGCTGGCCAAAATAATTGAATCCTTTAAATATGCGAAATCGACAGTTTACGAAATTTTCGCTAAATATAAGGCTTTGCAGAAGTCGGAAGGTTCTAGAACTTTGTCGAGGAAGAGCCATTCAAGAGAGAGGGCAAGGACGCCGGAAATTGCCTAAAGGGCCTAAGAGTTGATCACAGAAGACCCAGGGCAGTCTCTTAGGAAATTAGCGACAATGTTGGGCGTGAGTGAGGCTACCATGCGCCAAATAGGATCCACGATATAAGTCAAACGTCATAAATGTACGACAGATGCTGTCTGAAGCTGCTAGAATGAAGAGAGTTGCTCGTTCCAACTTGCATGTGTGTTCGTTAAAAAACGAAACAGCAGGACGCCTCAGATATTTTTTTGACTAGAAAATGTTTACTGTCGACGCAAAGTGAACCGTAGGAACGATCCTGGGCTCGCCTATGACCCCGAAGATGTCCCCGTTGTAGCTAAGACAAAGTTTCCAGCCAGTGTTCACGTCCTAAGCGTTGTCAGCGAAGATGACGTCATGCAGCCACATTTTTTTAATAAGGGAAAAACTGTTACAAAGGAAATATATGTACGCGTTTTGACATCAGTAGTCAAGCCATGAATGGACACTGGCCTGCAGCTTCCGGGAAGCCTTACATCTTCCAATTGGATTTGCGCACCAGCTTACACGTGTCATTTGGTCCAAAACTGGCTGTCGTACAACTTCGTTTTGGAGCAAAAAGTTTTGGCTTCAGAATAATCCAGATTTAAATTCGTTTGACTATTATGTGTGGAGCGTGATTGAAAGGCTCAGTAACAAATCGAGACAACCTAATGTGGCATCTTTTCAGGCTGCTCTTGAAGCATCATTCTTCAAAATAGACAAGCCGGCATTGCAAAAGGCGTTGCAAAGGGCGTGCAATTGTCCTAAATCGAGGCAGTAATTGCGGCAAACGGTGATTACATTATGTAATTTTTGTCTATAACGGTTACCCAAATGACACGAAGAAAGGTTTTTATAAAATTTTATATGTTTAACAAATAAACTTTTGATAAAATACATTGTTTATTTTGTCCAGATTTAGCTGACGCATCCTATACGATAGCAACCAAATATACTAACTGAGCAGTTATGTAGAAATAAATAATTAAATTACATAACTGTAATATAATTGTTATAACAAATTCGTTTCATAATTTGTTACTTATAAGTTACATAGCAACATTATATTAACTGGGTAGTATTCCATCCGATCGGGACACTAAGTATAATTTAAATCGAATTTCAATCTGTGAATTCGTTTAATTTTCAATTATACTAGAACAAAACAAGCGCAATCTACGTCCGACAATAAGTTAATTATTATAACACAAATAAATTTCGTAGTTCATATACAGTCTGTTCCAAAATATAGGGCAGAATATCGAGAATGTACAACCTAAAAGAAAATGATTCCATTATATTAGTATATTAAGGTAGATATAAAGACATATAATGTAATTACCTACTAATGGTCGCCAAATGGGTAACCAATCGCTTCCATTTTCAATTATACCATGGCTTGGCGTTTTCTTGGTATGGTTTTGATTAATTTTTTTAAATATTCAAGTAATACAGAGCGCCATAACTTCCTGATTTTGGTTGGACAACTTTAAAAATAGAGATAGGTTTCCTTCTTATTTTGTGCTTTATGTAAGACCACACATTCTAAATTCGTATCTTCGGGACGATGCGGACCAATCAATTGTGGTAATGCAATTTTTAGCTTTATATTCTGTGCGACTCCGATGTTTGTAATCGTTATCTGCCTGATTCTCCCAATTGTTTATGTTTTCCCATAAAATTTCTCGGCAAATGTCAAATATTTCTGATAAATATAGCGCATTATTTCAGCGTTTAAGTTATCAGTAAATAAATAAGGTACAAAAAACTACTAAAACCACACGTATAGAAACATCTCCAAACATAGATCTTAATTTGATGCTTAATTGTTTATTGTTTAATTGTCCTTTGACTTTCTGGCCACTTTTTAGACCTGAACATAAGATAATTTGGTTCTTTTGCATACAAAACTAAAAACACTCCCTCATAACGCTTGAAATACTTGGCACTGATTTTGAAAATTTCCATATTACTAATCTATGACGTTGGAACGACAACAAAGTATACATTGTGCAGACAGGTATCCTCCAGGCTTTCCAATATCATAAAATAGATGGTACTATGGTCAACCGTTTTGTAGTAAGGTCGTACATTTTCTTGTGAACAGACTGTAACTAAATAAACACCAAACAAAAGAGTGCGGCCAAGATGTCTCTCTTATGTGCTCCGCCATACTCTTAGCAGCGAGCCTCACTGGCCACTGACAGCCGCACACGCGGCACCAAGTTCCGGTTCCTAAGGAAATAGTATGTTCGCAGCCTGGAATCCTTGATCTGCGCTCATTGGTGTCGTGTGTTCGCTGTTTCAGCCGTGAGTTTGCTGCAATGCACGACCATTACCAACCTACACCGGTATCACAAACAAGGTGGTATATTCGTCGTCTTCGCCGTGCATTCGCTGCAACCGATTTCAATTCGCCTGAGCAAGTCTCGGGATGGTGCATTCGCAGCTTCCGCCGAATTTTCTCGACCTCGCTACCACTATTTCCAGATTGTGGCACTCTAGTGCCGATACCGCAGTTGACCGCCCGTCGACAGAGCTACCGCCGAAACTGTAAAATTCGCATCTGTAACATTGTGTAATACGCGTAAAACTCTCTTATATCATGTTCATCATTAACTGTATACTAATTATCGAAATATCAATACCGTATTCAGCGTCAACCGTGTATCATACATCATGAGTAGATATCATGCTCACAGTTAACCGCATCTCATATACCTAAATGTAAATACTGTGCTCAGCGTCAACTGTATATGTTGCATTATACATAGATACCGTGCTCGCCGTTAACCGTGTATTGACTATCGTAATGTAAATACAATGTGCACCGTTAACCGCACTTTGCATTTCGAAATGTAAATACCGTGCTCATCATCAACCGTAATCTGTATACAATGTAGCATCCGCAATGTAGATTTGCACCCACTGTTAGTCAAATACCGTATACTGTGTGTATTTCAAGATTTAAATACCGTAAATATCGTTAAACACATACCGCGATCAAAAACCAATCCCGGAAATCAGACGAGCTAGCCTCGGACACTCAGAAAACGCGAGTTCGATATTTCGCACCGAACACCGGCTTCGGAGAAATCAACCGTTTCAAAAAAAATACTTATAATTTTTATAAAACCGTAGTTTTTATTAAATCAATTATTTATTCTATTTAAATAAAAAAATTTAGAATTTTTAATAAATATATTTTTAATATTTACCTAAAACATACTTTTTGCAATATTTTTCTCACAGTGTATTTAATGCATTTTTGTTAATTTACTTATAAGTTATACTATTTCCTTTTATTAGCCAAAATCAATGCAATATCGAACGCGTTGAAAAAGAAACAATTACGGTCGACATTACGTATCTTCTGATCCGCATTTCAGGTCTCCAAGCTGTCGATATCACCGATCCAGAGCCAGCAGGAATTGTCCCGCACGTTGCAAACAAAACAAAGTCAAGGGTCGCAGCAACAGAGGATTCCCAGCAACTTCCTGCCGACTCCGGCCACCATGCAGACCACCGTGAGATCCTTCTACCCGACGCCGCGGCCTTCACCAAAACCTTCGCAGTCGCAATCGATTACTCAGCAGATCACCCAACATATCCACGTATCGCCGAGTCTGACGATACCGCAACTGAAACCACACGAAATCACTCTTAACTTGCCGTCGCCAGACATACAAAGGATCGTGCAGAATCCATCGCCTCTGCTGTCCTCGCAGTCGAGGGTGATCGTCACTGCAAAGGCTAGCGTGAGCGACGAGTCCGGCAGGCCACTGAACACTACGCAGCTGGTGACGCTACCGTTGCCGACGATACCAGTCAGCTATGACGACTACAAGGAAGGCGATGAGTCTTTCGATCCTTTCTACCGTGATGTGCCGAAAATTCGCAAAAATCGCCGAATTCTAAAAAACAAAAACGTCAACGTGAAATCTGCAAAGAAAAAGAGAAAGAGACGATCACTTGATCAAGCATATCATTTCGTTTACGATGTAAACAGCCGTCGAGGAAACGATCCGAAGGAGAGCGAGTCTCGTAGGAATGCAGACAACGTGGCGAATGGGAAAAAGATGGGTGCCGAAGACAACAACAGAAATCTCTGGGACATTAAGGAGAGCCTTATGAAATTTCGCGACATTCTGTTCAGAGACGAAGTGTACAACGTAGATTCTGTTTACAGTGGTGTTGCGGAGGGAATTGAAAATAAGACCGATCGCGTCAGTGAAGAGGACGGCAATACTTTCGGCGTGAAGTCCGAAAAGCAGACGGAGGACGCGATGAAAAGGTTGGACTCTTTGAAGGACCTGAAAACGGAAGCTGCGAAACATTTAGATTTAACTGAAGAAGAAGATACTAGTAAGGAGGAGGAGTTTAATGACGAGGCGAGTAACAAAGATTCGAACGACAAAACTAATATCGAGAAAATGGTTATTGAAAAGAAACGTGTCGAAAGTGCTTTGAAATCAGAAACTAAACTCGACTTTAAAATTAATGGTCAGCTTCCACCAACAGCCGCTCGTTCCGACGAAGACGGGTTTCATGAAAGCGTCATTGATGTCATAATATTTGACAACGACGATGACAAAATGAAAGCCTCGTTCTCAAGCTCCGACGACGCAGAAATCTCTAAGGCTGATGTGCCAATTGAGATTATCATTGAAAAAGAGACGAAATCCCACTCGCAGAATTCGTCTAAGGCCATGTACGACGAACATATCACACGACATGTGACGAAGAAAGTTGATTCAGTTCAAGAGTCGCGTTCTCCGACGAGCGACGCAACAAGCCAGTCGGAAGTTCCTCGAGAAATGACGAGGCAGGAAAGCGCGAAGGATCCCATGGGAAAACCCAGCTTTGGGAGAAAGGGCTCTCGACCGAGGTCTTCGAAGAGACGTTTATCTTCCAGAGTGAAACAGCAAATGACAGATCGCGTCGAAACAACGGAGGCAGTCCGTCAACAGAAAGAAGTATTTCAATCGACGACGCCAACGACGAATAGTACAACAATAACCACTACTGCTACCAATAGCACAACCAGTACCACCAGCACGACTACTACCACGCCTCCACCCACCGTGCCTTTCGAGACGCAAGTTGTCGTGCAAACCGACAGTCACATTTACGAGGAATTAGAATTGCAAACTTCTAAAGAAGTGGACACACGAGCAATTGGCCAACACGACATTATGTACAGTATTGACATTATCAAGAGTATTCAAGATGACAAGAGCCACAACGTGAGCAAAATCGAGGAGTTAAAGCGATCGTTCGATTATCAAATTGCGAAGGACTATGTTGAACATTCAAAGCAGCAGGACAACGAATCCGAAGAAGAACTGTCCGAAACAGAATCGCCGGATTATACGCAAAACGCCAGATTGAAAGATATCAACTTCACCGAGAACTCACGAAACATAGAAGAGACGCAAAGTACTCAGGGGGAATCGATGGAGGTCGCGAATGCCTCCGGAGAGAAAGAATCGTCCGTCGAGGAATCTTCCTCTAGGGTTCACGAATCGACTACGAACGACGAGTTCGACGCGAATACAAATGACGAGATGTCCGAGGAGGACTTGGAAGAAATGTACAATAAAATATCCTTTCCTCAGGAAATCACGGTTAACACCAAGAATAAGACATATCAAGAGGACTCGTCTTGCCAAGAGGATGAAAGTGAGAAGTCTTCGAAGGACGACCTAGACGAACAGAATGACTTCACGACTGCGAAAGACCGAGAGGAAGCGTCGACTTCCGAGGAGGAGTTAAACCATTATCAGGACACAACGGGATCATCTAAAGAAAACGCGCGTACTGACGCCAGCATCCAAGAGGATTATAAGGAGCCAGAGAGCATTGAGTACTCCACTGTGCCAGCGGATTACACGAGTTCTGATGAGTACGTTGATCTCCGAGAAGACGTGGAAAACTCGACTGAGCGAGAAAAAGAGACTGAAAGCAGCACTGAGGGCGTTCTAAAATTCACGGACGAGCTACCCGGGTTGGATCACACCGAGGACACGAAAGCCAAAGAGTCGGTGGCCTCGAGACCCTACGACATCAACGAATACGAATATGTGGATGATAATTACGAACGAGAAGATTATAAGCATTTCATATTTGACATTAAGTTGGATGATGACAAAGAGAAGAGCAATATAGAGAAGAAGAATCAAGAGAAGGAAGATGCGTCCGCAACGAGTTTTGAGAGAAGCACCGAAGTGGATGACAATGTCGAAGCGGAAACTCATGCAGAACACATAGAGGCGGTCACGGAACTCGTGAGTATCAAGGAAATTGTAGACTCGACCACGACTTCGTCAACCATTACAGCAGCGTCTACTGTAACAACGGCGTCTACAACCACACCTACGACAGTATCCACGACGGCATCTACAATTGCATCCACAACGACATCTACAACATCATCTACGACTTTTATGATAGAATCAACGTCTATGACAACGTCCCAGACAACGGCGACTACCACTACAAGCACGACTACACCTCGATCGACGACCAATATTTCTCGTGCTATGCCGCCGAAGCTCTTCAAGCCCAATTCCGCCAGGAGAACTTACGCCTACATCCCACCCACGACAACCCCAATTCCAGTTGTGATCAAACCAAGGTTGGGCTTGTACAATCCAAAACCGGCAAAGCCGCCCAAATCTTACAATGAACTGGCGCCGAAGCCGGTCATCAGAAAACTACCTCTTTTATCACGTAAACCTGTTACCACCACCAGTACTACCAGCACCTTAGCTACTACGATTACCGACAAGTCATATCCGGACGATCAAGATACCACTACAGAACCTTTGACCACGATGTCAGTGACGACAGCGGCAACGAAGGCAGCGATGACGTTAATGGCGACCTCGACGACGAAAACGACAACGACGACCACGATGACGGCTATATTAACGGAGTCTAATAGGAGTGAGGAGAACGTGCTAAAGAGCAAAGTAGAGGCGAAAGAGCCTTTATTTTTTAATTTGTCTGCGAAGGACAACGTAAACAAGGAGGACCAACTTCCAAGCCCATCCGAACAAGATTCTCCTGTCAATTCTTCTAGAAACCCGGACTTCCACGTTTCTACTGAGGAAATCCAGACTATCACTCCGTATCCTTTGACCAGAATATCTACTTTCGCGACCTTTACCGAGCAGACAGCGAAGGAAGCAGAGAGCAAACTATATGAGACTACGGAAAGTATCGATGTTCTTACGACGGCTGCTGCGCCGACGACGTTGCCTCTTGAAATGTCCGCGTACATCAAAACAAACAGCGAAATAAATCCGAAAGAAGCCGAGTCCACTACGACAGCTTCCACCAAAGTTCATCCACAGGAAGTTATCAGCGAGATTCTGCCGGTCCTCAGTGAACGTCCGATCTCGGTTTTATCCTTGACGACTGTCCCATCCAACGCTGAAAATGACTATTTCCACGTGCCGGCGGAATCGACTGAATCGACTGTCTTCCGACCGAGCAGCCGGAACACCATGAATACTCCTCGAAAACACCTGAGTTTCAATTGCCTGGAAAAAGAGATGTACCGCTTCTATGGCGATACTAGAGACTGTCGTCTGTTCCATTACTGTTCGCCTGGCTTCACGAAGCGACAAGTATTGGATTTCCGGTTTGTGTGCGAGAAAGGCACGGAGTTCGACGAGGAGACGCAGAGCTGCCGACACGACGTGCAAAACCGGAAATGCCGGAACCGATCCTGATAAAAGAGAGAGAGAGAGAGAGAGAGAGAGAGAGAGAGAGAGAAGGCAGGCGACGCGACGAAGCGATTCCTCCGACCATTGATTTTGATAATTCGTGAATCCTCTAGGAGACTCTCCTTAGTATATTTATATAATTCCTAACGTAAAATATAAGAGTAGCCCCCCTGTCCGCGGAAGAGAGTACCGCCTCTCGTAAGTATTGCCATAGCGCCTCGCCGAGCGCTGGATTCACACTTATTAAAATTAATGCGCTCCGCATCTGCTCGGTTTCTGATCGGCCGTCTCGTCGTCGTTTGGACCCGGAGAGCAGTGAAGATACGCACCGCCAAGAATGCAGCAAACGCAGCCGAGGGCGCAGTCTCGAGCGCGTGGCTAACAAATCACCCCATCCGCTTTTCGACAGGAGAAAACGGATCGTGCTTAGTGTGTTAGAGAACGAAGAATCGGTTCTTATGATGTTTTCGGACGCATGTCCACGTGAAGGAAAAGTTAGAAGATAAGGAGGAAGAAAGCGAAGGTCGCGTGTCAAAAGAGCGGGAATCGAATTCTTTCCACTGGTTTATCGTTCTATGAATTTCTTAGAGTGAAATCTGTCTCAAAACGAGTAAAAGGTGGCAATATTTTATCTGGAAGCAATAGTGAAAATTCCGGTACTCGAAATCGCAAGAGTAAATGTTTAACTGCGCTATTTGAGAATTTTGCCAGTAAAATATTGACATATTTCTGGAAAACTCACATCATATTGGTTGCATTAAATTACAAGTGCTTCTATATAGTGGAAATAAGCGCGAAAATAAATTAAAGTAATACACAATATGTGGGGAAAACGATTACAAATTTAAAAATTGACAACTTCAGCTATCAGTTAAAATAAATATTCATCTGATTCAGAAATTCTGCAATTTATATGTACCGAATATATTAATACCTCAATCAGGAAAATTTCAACGAACGTTTTTATATATTTTCAATTAAAGCTAGAAACTTAACATTTTAGTGTCTGGGTCATCGGGGGCTCATGTTGAACTTTCAATTCAGGCTGCGTAACACATATTTTGTTATATTTTGTAACTTCTTTCCCTTATATAATGATGATTTTGTAGTTTTATAAATATTATGAAATATATCTCATAAATGTATATAATGAAAAATATAATAAATGAGGTAATCGAAAATTATCGGTGGTTTATACGGCATGAATTGAAACTCATGTGAAATTGACGCAGTACACAACGTGTTAAGTACAATAAAGAGTGAAGACCTAAAAGAAAAGTAACATTTTGCTTATCAGGATCGATATCTTTCATTGGTTTGATTACATATAAACTTTTTTTTCCATAAGGTAAACAAATTCTTTAGTTATATTAAAAGATGAATAAAATTTAACCATATTTTATATTTAAGTAGAAAAATTAAATTTTATGAAGATCGAAGTTTATTAAGATTTTTTTCACCCCCAAGGTTATAACAGGACTTAGGATTGATTGTAACATGGTATAATAAAATAAAAACAAATCTATAATTAATTTAGCAAAACGTTTTTTTGTACAAGAAAACATCCCAATTAGCAAGAAATCATTAACATAACGTTATTATAATGATATCTTGTAGCATGCAACGTTTATAAATATATTATTCTCAATATTATATACATTATCGTTAACAATATTTAATACAAACGTTAAAAATAATATTGATATATTAATATTTCTATATTATGGTTTTAATACTTAGGAATATTATAGTATCAAATAACACGGATTAAAATCATTTATAAAATATTATGTCAAAATGTTTATAATATCCACATAAAATAATTGTTTTATAAGACTGACATAATGGGTTATACCTCGCTAGAAATTTTCAAAAAATGAAGTATATATTGTGAGAAATATTACCTAAAAGTTTTAAGTTGATTCTTTTTTAATTTTACGAAGATATTCGATCTTAAGTAAACGTTCGTCGAAACTCTCCGCGCAGGCACAGCGTAGCAGGAGGGAACGAACATCGTCCTTTTTTTCTGTCTGTAGGTTATTATTGTATGTTACTAAAGTATATATTTGTGTTAGTAAATACGAAAGGTTCTTTAAGACATTTTAATAGCAAAATCCATGGATTTTCAGACCAACCAACATGAAACCCGGAAACACTAGCAATATTGCAGTTGATGTTGAGCCATACAGTCGAACATACATTTCTATATTTTTTCTTGTTTTAAAAAATTATGGTTCGTGAAAAAGGTTCGAGAAATTCAAGAAAATTAGATCATTTTTAATATTCGAAGCCAAAAGAAGGGAGAATGTTTATAATCCGAGAACAGTGGAGCGTAGTAAAAACAGTTTTATTGCATGTGCAAAGAAAAATTAAAATGCAAAAAGAGATTATGCCGCAATATAGTAATATTGAATATAGAATTTTTAACTTTATCATCGTTTCTGCGGCAGTTTTCAAATTTTATTAAATACAGTGCGATAGAAATATTAAAATTCAAACTGCAAGTACATGCTGCCTTGAATTTAAGATTACATTGATATGTGATAACCGCGAACCTCAATATAATTCTTCGAATTCTTTTTACATTCATATAAAATAAATTGGCATTTCGTATTTGCAATGAAGCTACTAAGATTGTGATTAAAAACTGTTCAAAAGGTTTACGGCTTGATGGACATGCCGCAAATTTTTTATCAGAGTACGTGATATGATCATAAAACATATGCATGGTTAAATTTAAACCATTGTTCAAATGCTTTTTAAAAATGCTGTGAAAGAAAAAGTAGCAAATGCTTAAAAAAAAAAACATATGTAAAACAACTGAATTAACTGTCCAATGACAGAATGTGAAAAAATTATTTCTTTAATTAGTGTTTCTTGTAATATCGCATATTACACAATGGCAAAGTTATTAACTTTTTGTGAAAAATCTATAATGGAAAATTAGTGAATTTTGGAATAAAATTTTGGTATAAAAATGAAGATTCTGTAGAATACGAAAAATGGTTTGAGATACGAGGTCTGTTCAAAAAGAATAGCGAATTTTGTGTTTTTTCAAAAATTATTTATTTATTCATGAATATCTATTTTGTATCCTTCAAAGTAATCCCCATCAGATATTATACACTTGTGCCAACGTTTTTTCCAATCCTCGAAGCACTTCAAAAAATCATTTTTTGTGATCTTGTTTAGCTCCTCCTTCGATGCCTTCTTTATCTCCTCAATCGTAGCGTAGCGTCGTCTTTTCATGTGCCTTTTCAGTTTCGGGAGCAAGAAAAAGTCACAGGGGGCCAGGTCTGGGGAATACGGTGGCTGCGGCATCATTAGTGTGTTGTTTTTGGCCAAAAATTCGCGCACAAGCAACGATGTGTGAGCAGGGGCGTTCGTACGAATTTCGCGGCGACCCGTCTCATGCCCAAATCATTAGTAAAAATCGAATGGCACTAGCCAATCGATATGTTTAGGTCCTCAGCAACTTCTCTAACGGTGATTCGATGATTGGTCAATACTATTTTTTTCACTCCATCAATGTTTTCGTCTGTTGTTGACGTGCTCGGGCGTCCGGCACGCTCTTCGTCGTTCACATCTTCTCGGCCCTCTGAGAACATTTTGTACCACCGATAAACGTTGCTTCGGTCCAAGGTAGCTTCACCATATGCCACAGTCAACATTCGGAATNCATGCCCAAATCATTAGTAAAAATCGAATGGCACTAGCCAATCGATATGTTTAGGTCCTCAGCAACTTCTCTAACGGTGATTCGATGATTGGTCAATACTATTTTTTTCACTCCATCAATGTTTTCGTCTGTTGTTGACGTGCTCGGGCGTCCGGCACGCTCTTCGTCGTTCACATCTTCTCGGCCCTCTGAGAACATTTTGTACCACCGATAAAAGTTGCTTCGGTCCAAGGTAGCTTCACCATATACCACAGTCAACATTCGGAATGCATCCGCGCACTTAATTTTGTTATATTCTTTGATCCATTTTTTAGAATAGACAAAAATCGAAGACGAGCCAAAACACGTCCAAGCAAAACAGCTGTAAAATATAAACTGAATATTCAAAATGGCCGAACTTGTCGGCATAAGTGAGGGACATGAGTAACAACATAACGTCACAAAAAAATCGAAAATCGAATATACATAACCCGCGGAAATTCAAAATTCGCCATACTTTTTGAACAGACCTCGTATATAAATAAGATTGTTAGGTAAATCGTCGAGGATTGTTGAGTAAAATAGAAGTGGATGCGATCACAGAAATGTTCCACCGTTTATAGAAAAATTATATAAAATACACAAATTACTATATATCGCTAATGACGATTCATGTATTCTAAAACATATATGGATGTTATAAACGTTGTTCCTTATAATATTCCTTGATCCTTGAAACTCCTATTACTAAAAAGAATGTATTGCACATCTCCAACAAAGATGGGGACTCTTCTGTACAAGTGCAAAAGGAAACTAAAGAACTCGGGAGCAAAAATAAACTAACGAAAAAAATGATCAATTAATTAATTGTATATTAATATAATTGTTCTCCGTATATTAATATAATATAATATAATTGTACATTATGATTTAGCGATATGACGGTATTATAATTCAGTCAAAAATATTTATAACACGGGCAACATATGATCATTACAACTCTGTAGATAACAAACCATATTATAACAAGTGCTCGACTGGAGTTAAATCATAGTATTGGCATCGTGCTTCATCAAATGGAGAACTTGTCTCATTAAAGCCTGATTATAGAACTCTACCTCCAGATGTCTTGGCTGCAATCAATCTTATCCATAAAGATTTTAGTAAAGATGTTTTTCTCGGAAGATGTATTGATGGTTTGACTTAGTACAATAACGAAAATTATAAATAACTGATCTGAAAAATCAGTCCGAAAATGATTTCAAATGGCAAAATTATTATCGAATCAACCATATACATCGTTGCTTGCGTATTTAATGAAGGTTTAGCAGCATTACTACATATTATAATCTACGGGAGCAAGTAACAGCCAAACGCCCACAAATATGCGGAGAGAGAATACGCTGAGCGCATAAATGTATCTGACTACCACGCGTATGAGAATATCCGCCATGAATGGATATGTCTTCGGCAACGTTAAATTGATGTTTTAGAGGCAACAACTTCAGTAGAAGATGTACTAAATAGACCTGGAATAGATCACTATGTGTAAGTTCAATAAATTTTTTAATTTAGTGTAAAATGTACTTGAAACTTGAAACGCGTTTTTCTCAAAACTACGTTTTCCAGTCGGTGAGTGAGATATCTTAAAAACCGCTGCACTAATCTATTTCACATTTTGTGTTCTTGTCTTCCTTAAGATTTACTCTTTTATAAAAGAACATTTTTTAAAGTGTACATTTTATTTTATGGAAGAAAAATGTCCTTTTTTAACGAAAATCGAAATTATAACTTGGAGTAGTCTTTGAATTATGTCGCAATTTAATGTTTCGGAATATTGATCAATTAACTCTTTGCACTCGAGGCCTTTTTCGCTCGCGCGAACCAGCAACTCGAGACGATTTCGGCTAAATTAGAGAAGCATTTTACAGGTACTTTAAAATCATTTATGCTCAAACAAACGTATACAAATAATAAAATTTCACCAATTCATTAATTTTTAAATAGAATACAACAAAATTTGGTAAATATTACACTCTGTAATTAGTTTTCGTGTGATATTTCGTAAAACAATGACCAAGATG